GCCCTGGGTCTCGGTCCTGATAACGTTGATGTGAGTATGAGGCGACGGGATGAGGGGGAGATGTGCTCCTGGTATTATGATTTTTATTACCATTCCTATTATTACGATTATTTGTTATTATCATTGACGTGCTTAATTTTTATTACTGTTGTTGTCGTTAGCAGCATCATTTTAGTTATTATTCTTATTATAGTTATTATCCCCATATCTACAGTATCATTATCACTCTCATACATCATTAACATCACCATCACAACCACCATATCATCACCATCATAACTATCATATCACTACCAACATAACCACCATATCACCACCAACATAATCATAGCCATCGTTTCATCACCCTTACCATCATAGCCACCATACCATCACCATCATAGCCACCATGTCACCACCAACATAATCATAGCTATCGTTTCATCACCATCACCATCATAACCAATACATCATCACCATCACCATCATAGCCAGAACATCATCACCATCACCAAAATAGCCACCGAATCATCACCATCATAACCACCCTATCCCCACCAACACAATCCTACCCACCGTGTCATCCCCATCATCATCTCCACCACATCATCCCCACCCCCGTCATCCTTTTCCATCCTCCATCTCCCAACCCTTTTATCCGTTTATCCGTGTCATTCATCCTCCCCTCCCTCCCCCCCCCCCCTCTTCTTCACCCAGGCGGACATCCAGATGCACAACGCCACGCACCCCAACCGGAGGGACGAAAAGAAGTCCTTTTTCCGCACCCTGGAGACCGTGAGGGACTTCCTGGGCCACAGCGAGAGGGCCATCGACGTTCTCAAGTTGGACATCGAATTCGCCGAGTGGGACTTCTTCGAGAGCCTCTTCCGCTCCCCGAGAAGTCGAGGATTCTGCAGGATGTCAGCAGATTGCGTTGGAGGTAAGGGGGAGGGCGAGGGATAGGAAAGAGGAGAAGGAGAGAGGAAGAGGAGGAGGAAAAGGGAAAAGGAGGATTTTGCAGGATGTCAAGCAGATTGCGTTGGGTAAGGGGGGGATGAGGGGAGGGGGAGGAGGAGGAAAGGGGAAAGGAGAGAGGAAGGAGGAGGAAAAGGGAAAGGAGGAGGGATTTTGCAGGATGTCAAAGCAGATTGCGTTGGAGGTAGGGGGGGCGGAGGGGGAGGGAGGAGGAGGAGGAGGAGAGGGGAGGAGAGGAGGATAGGAAAGAAGGAGAAGGAGAGAGGAAGAGGGGAAAAGGGGGAAAGGAGGAGGGATTTTTGTCAAGCAGATTGGTTGGAGGGTGTCGAAGGAGGAGGAGGACAGGAAAAGAAGGAGAGGAGAGAGGAAGGAGGAGGAAAAGGGGAAAGGAGGAGGATTTTGGTTCAAGCAGATTGCGTTGGAGGTAAGGGGGGGGGGAGAGGGGAGGAGAGGGGGAGGGGAGAGAGGGAGGGAGAGGGAGGAGGGGAGGAGACAGGAGGAGGAGAGGAAAGAAGGAGAAGGAGAGAGAAGGAGGAGGAAAAGGGAAAAGAGGAGGGATTTTGCAGGATGTCAAGCAGATTGCGTTGGAGGTAAGGGGGGGGGGGGAGGGAGGGAGGAGGAGAGGAAGGAGGAGGAGGATAGGAAAGAAGGAGAAGAGAGAGAAGGAGGAGGAAAAGGGGAAAGGAGGAGGGATTTTGCGGGTGTCAAGCAGATTGCGTTGGAGGTAAGGGGGGGGGGGGGAGGGAGGGAGGGGAAAGGAGGGAGGAAGGGAGGAGGAGGAGAGGAAAGAAGGAGAAGAGAGAGGAGGAGGAGGAAAAGGGGAAAGGAGGAGGGATTTTGCAGGATGTCAAGCAGATTGCGTTGGAGGTAAGGGGGGGGGGGAGGAGGGGAGGAGAGGGGGGGGGGAGGAGAGGGAGGGAGAGGGGGGAGGGGGAGAGAGAGAGGAGAAGGGAGGAGAAGAGGAGAGGATAGGAAAGAAAGGAGAAGGAGAGAGGAAGGAGGAGGAAAAGGGAAAGGGAGGGATTTTGCAGGATGTCAAGCAGATTGCGTTGGAGGTAAGGGGGGAGGGAGGGAGGGAGGAGGAGAAGGAAGGAGGAGGAGGATAGGAAAGAAGGAGAAGGAGAGAGGAAGGAGGAGGAAAGGGGAAAAGGAGGAGGGATTTTGCAGGGTGTCAAGCAGATTGCGTTGGAGGTAAGGGGGGGGAGGGAGAGGGGAAAGGAGGAGGAGAGCAGGTAGGAGGAGGAGGATAGGAAAGAAGGAGAAGGAGAGGCAGGAAGGAGGAGGAAAAGGGAAAGGAGGAGGGATTCTGCAGGATGTCAAGCAGATTGCGTGGATGGTAAAGGGGGAGGGGGGAGGAGGAGGAAGGAGGAGGAGGGGGAAAAGAAGGAGAAGGAGAGAGGAAGGAGGAGAAAAGGGAAAGGAGGAGGAGGAAAGGAGGAAGGATTTGTGCGGATGTAAGAGATTGCGTTGGAGGTAAGGGGGGAGTGAAGGAGGGGAGGAGGGGGGAGGGAGAGAGGAGGAGGAGGGGGAAGGAGGAGGAGGGAAAAGGAGGATTTTGAGGATGTCAAGGCAGATTGCGTTGGGGGGTAAGGGGAGGAGAGGGGGAAGGGGGAGGGGAGAGAGGGAGGAGGGAGAGATGAAAAGAAGGAAGGATTTTGTAGGATGTTAGACAGGCTGCGTTGAATGTTAGAAAAAAGGGAAAAGAGGAGGAAGAGGAAAAGGTGGAAGGATTCTGCAGGATGTCAAGCAGATTGCGTAGGAGGTAAAGGGGAGGAGAGGGGGGGGATAAAGAAGAGAAATAAGGACGAGAGAGCAGAACGGATTAGAAAAGAGAATGACATGAAAAAAGGGAAATGGAGAGAGATGATGATGGAGAGAAGGAGGAGGGACGATGGAGGAGGAAGGAGGAGGATGAAAGAGGAGTGAGGAAGAATGAGGAGGGAGGATGAAGGATGGGGAGGAGGGAGGATAGAGAGGAGGCAGGTTGAAGGAGGAGGAGGAAGGAGGAGGAGGACGATGGAAGAGGAAGGAGGAGAGGGAGATGAAGGAGGAGGAGAGACGAGGAGGGAGGAGAAGGGACAATGTGGCTGGCGTTTTATCGTTACATAATGGCGCACGATTCCTTTCTGCACATACGTTGGCGCATAAATTACCAGCAAGACAGAGATGACGGAGGGAAAGGAAGAGGAGGGAGGAGAGTGAGAGAGGAAGAGCAAAGAAAGAAGAGGAGAAGGAGAAGGAGAGAGGAGGACGAGGAGGAGGAGGGGGAAGGGAAGGCAGGAGAGGAAAAAAGCAAAAAAAATAAGAAGAAAGAAAGGCAAATATAGAAAACGGGAAAAACAAAATATAAAGTTAAACAAGGGATAGAGAGAGAGAGAGAGAGAGAGAGAGAGAGAGAGAGAGAGAGAGAGAGAGAAAGAGAGAGAGAGAGAGAGAGAGAGAGAGAGAGAGAGAGAGAAAGAGAGAAGAAAGAGAGAGAGAGAGAGAGAGAGAGAGAGAGAGAGAGAGAGAGAGAGAGAAAAGAACGAACGAGAAAGAAAAAAAGAAAGAAAGAAAACGAGAGAGAGAGAAAGAAAAAAAAATAGAACGAACGAGAAAGAAAAAAGAAGAAAGAAAGAGAACGAGAGAGAAACAAAAAACGAAAAACCAACAACCCCCCCCCCCCCAAAAAAAAAAAAAAAAAAAAAACACACAGCAACAAAACTACCCAAACCACTTCCCCAGTGACCCTCAACCCATCCATCCCAACTTCAGGTCCACCTCGACGACCTGAAGCATGAATCCGCAGCGAAGAGAGTGCGAGGTGGACAGCGTGTGGAGCGGATCCTGGAGACTCTGCAATCACACGGTTTCCACCTCGTCCACACGGAGCTCAACACGGCGTTCCAGGTGCGTCGTCGTCACTGTTATTATGTTCGTTGTTATCATCATTATCGACTTTTTCATTATTGTTATCATCAGTGATAACGATAATGATAATTATTATTGATACTACCGTTATTGTTATTAGTTTTATCATTATCATCATTACCATCATTATACGTTATTATTATTATCGTTATTATTTATTATTATCATTATGATTATTATCATTATGATTATTATCATTATGATTATTATATTATTATTTTTATCATCATTGTTATTATTATTATTATTATTATTATTATTATTATTATTATTATTATTATTATTATTATTATTATTATTACTATTATTATCATTATTTGTATCACTGTTATTATTGTTATCGTCATCATTATAACTATTGTCATTATAACCATTATCGTTATTATTCTTATTGTTATTACTATTGTAATGATTATTATTATTATCATGTTGTTGGTGATAATGATAATGGTAACAATAATGGTTATCATGATTATTATCATTGTTATTTTTATCCTTATTATCATCATTATTATCATTATTACTATGATGATAATCATTATCGTTATCATTATTATCATTATTATCATGATTATTGTTATTATTGTTATTATTGTTATTCTTTTTATCATTATCATTATCATTGTCACTTTTGCGGCTGTTATTATTATTATTATTATTATTATTATTATTATTATTATTATTATTATTATTATTATTATTACCTATGTTATTGTTGCTATCTTTATAATTATTACCTTATCACTACTTAATCATTCTTTTTAATATTATCATCATTATTCATATCATCAGCATTAATGATAATTTTATCGTAATTATTATTGTAAGCATTAATATCATTATTTCATTATCATTATCATCATTATTAATATCATCATCATCATCATCATTATTATCATACGAGCTTTTAGCATTTGTTTTGAGAGACGAGGTAGCCAAACCACATAGGAATTACTATATTTATCTCTAAACTTGATTCACGGTAGAAAACGTATCACGATTAATAAATGACTAATTATTTTTTCGATTCCCAGTAATTTTTTCTCCTTAAGGTATTCCATTTTTTCTGTCTTAGTTCGTTATTTTTTTTATCTCATTTGCTCGCAAGCTTTCGATGTTTTCTCCATTTTTTCTTT